TATTTCCACTTTTTTGGCTATTATGAATAATGCTATGCACACTCATTTCACAGGTTTTTTTGTGAATATGTGTATTTTCAATTGCACTGGATATATACCTAGACATGGAATTGCTAGGTCATATTTGTAATTTTTAACAATTTTTAGAGAGGTTAGTTTGTCTGCAACCCTGGTTAAGCAATTTTTACAAGTCTGAAGTCACTGCTAACTTCTCAGTCATTTCCTTGATACTCTACTCATGTAGAAAGTATTGGGTTGGCCAAAAATTTTGATTAAGTTTTTCATAAGATATAATAAAAAAACCTAAACAAATTTTTTGGCTAACCAGATACATACACTAAACTATAGTTTAATGTAGCATTTGTCTCCCAGTCTCTCATGCACCTCTTCAGACTTCCAATTAAGTACCCATAAATACACAGAAAAAGATGAAATTAAAATTGATACATTCTGAGAGGAATATGATCTCTCATGAAATACCACACTCCTCAAACTAAGTTTTCCATCTGCTTTAGCTACATTTGTGCTTATCCTAGTGTTCTTCATCATCCAACTCTAAAGACTTTTATCTTCTCCCACAGTCTGCCACTGACTCAGATATACTGAATTTACAGTAGTGAAGTAGGTAACAGCACACTTTCACCTATTTAGTTAAATGAAAAGTGTAGGCCATATTTGGGATCTGCTAGGATGCAGAAGAAAAAACCCTAAAAATTGGTAACTAAAGAAATAGTACCCTAGTTTAAGACAGAAACAAGAACAATTGGCACAAATTATCAGACATCGTTGAAGAAAATTCTTTCAGGCTTTAAAAAAGTCATGGATATGCTGGTGAAAAGACTAGATTCTAGGGAAAATCAACAAAAGATGCCATAAAAAGTCACATTCTGATAATTTTTTGGTATTAAAAGAAAAATTAAATTAAAATTTTGTATTGAAAAGACTCTAGATCAAAAAATTCTGTTGCCCATATGGTAACAAAAGTAGCTGCAGTGTCACATTCATTTATGAAACATTAAACATTAAAAGTTAATGTAGTGATTTCTAGATAATTTTGAGGAGAAAAACATTTTGGTACTTACCTAGGAACTTTGTACCTACCCAGGAATCTGTACCTACCCATAGTTTAGTCACTATGATTACTAACAAAAATATTTTCGTCTACAAAAAGCAGAGTTATTTTGAATAATACAAGAGCTTTCTCCCAATTCTTTCTTTCATCTTTGGAGATTTATATTGAAACTCCTTATATATATTTTATATTGTCTTCAATCTGGAATTTGTGAATGTTTTTAAATTAAATGCATTAATATAAGATAGTACCTCAAGGTTGGTAAAAATAGTTAAGAAAATATAAGAGAAAACAATGATAGGTGGTAAGTTTCAACATGATCTTTAAAAAAACATTTTCCAATATTTTAAAAATATTTTACTAAATGCATGAATAATTTTTTCTTTAAGTCTCTAAAAAATAACAGAAGTTTTTATCTAGAAAATTTTTTTACAAGACAATAAAGGTAAAATCAATACAGACAATTAGTATTTGCCTGAATATCAAAATGACTGGAAGGAAGTACACAAAATCTTAACTGTAGCTGTAATCATCTTTTTCTATATTTTATAGATTTTATGTAATAGGCATCATGTTGTTTTATAATGGAAAAATACAGTATATTCAAAAATCAATATTTAGTTTCACTAATGAATGGCATTATTAGGTGCAGATGTTTCTGCTTATAGACAATAGATGAACCTTTTTTTCCCTAAACCTGGATCTTATATAAATCATATCTTATGTTGTTAGTGTTACTGACCTACTTGAGGTATATATTTTCTTTCCAGAAGTTTCCATGTATCAACATGTCATAGCACAGAAGAATTCAATATTTATTTAAGCATCAAATATGTATCATGCATCTCCTAGGTTAGCTGCTGAGAGCTCATTGGGTAACTGAGGCAAAGTCCTTGTTCTTATGAAGTTGCAAATTTAACATTTGAAAACACTTGAAAAAGCTGTTGAGGTCTCAGTGGGTGAGAACTCATAGTAGAAGCATCCAGCCTGGTCAAGAGGAACAAAAACGGCTTTCAGAGGAAGTCTAGTATCAGTGTTAGACAGTAGAGAGTGCACAGTCATTCCATGGATTTGAAATAGTCTCTCCAAAGGTCTGGAGGTGAGCTATGTTTGGGGAACCAGAAATAGATGAATATGATGGCAACAAAGAGTTTGATGCTGGGGAGTGATGAGTGATAAAGGCTAGAATCAGCAGCTAGGTCATGAAAAGTCTTGCAAACCAAGTTGAATAATTCAAGTTTTTTCCTATGGGTGATGGGAAGCCATTGGAGGGTAAATTAGTTTCTGAGGGTTACCATGACATATTACCAAATGCTTGACAGCTTAAGACAACAAATTTGTTCTCTCACAATTTTGGAGGCCAGAAGTCCAAAATTAGGATATCAGCAAAGTTGATTCCTCTGGAATCTCTGAGAGAGTACCTCTTCCAGGGCTCTCTCCTAGCTCTTGGTGGCTGCTGGCAAGCCTTGGCATTCCTCAGTTGGCTTCCTAACTCCAGTCTTCTCTCGCATCTTCTTATGGTTGTCTTCTCGCTGTGTTTTCCCCTTTCCAGTGTCTTTTAGGGATACTTATCACTGTATTTAGGGCCCACCCTGATCCTGGCTAATCTCATCCGAAGATCCTACCCTAATTACATTGCAAAGACCTTTTATTTTAAATAAGGTCACATTCTGAGATTCAGGGTGGATGTCTCTTTTGGGGGTCACAATTAAACCTACTGCAGAGGGCTTTGGTGGGGCAATTGAACAAATCAGACTTATTTCAGAAGGATCACTCTGGCTGCTTTGTGGAGAAGGGATTTGTGGGGGGTAAGACTGGGTACTTGGAGATCAGTGGGAATCTGGGTAATGGATCCTAGAGGCTTTGGAGGTAAGAGAGTGGAGGTGAGTGTAGGGTACTCTGAAGATGGTCAGTTGTGACTGGGAAAAAGCAGGGCTATGGTTGAAGAGAACATATGGTGGCGAGGAGGGGCTCTTAAGGATGGGAGATACTTAGTGAATTTTTAATGCAGGTGAAAATGATGTGGTATCTACTAAGGGAAGTAGTTGAAAATACAAGAATTGGTGGGGGAGGGAGATAGAGATGATTTTAAGTGTAGTTGATTCACAGTGTTGTGTTAGTTTCAGGTGTACAACAAAGTGATTAAGCTGTACATATACAGACATATTCTTTTTCATATCATTTTCCATTATGGTTTATTATAGGTTATTGAATAAAGCTCCTGGTGCTATACAATAGCACCTTGTTTTTTTAAATCTATTTTATATGTAGTAGTTTGTAGCTGCTATTCTCAGGCTCCTACTTTATCCCTACCCCATCCCTCTGGGATAATTACTTTAATGCAAGAGAGGGAAATGGGGTGTGGAGCACAGCCTGTGTACAAAGCAACACATCCATCTCGTATTTGACTGCTCCTAGGTATTTTAAAAGGTCTGTAAAGCTGATAATGATGCTACCGAGGAAGATGTTAATTCCTGTTTGAGAACTCTCTGTGCTAGGTGCCATACAGGTTATTTTCCATGTGTTAGCTCATTTAATCTTTAATGTAGTTATATTTATTGTCTTCTTTTACTACTTAGAAAACTGGAGCACAGAGAGGTTAAATAATTTGCTCAAGGCCACACAGATAATAAGTGACAGATTATGATTTTTCCCCAGGTGGTGTGACTGCTGAACCTATGCCAGTAAATGGTACTACCTGTGTTGCCTCTAGAGGCAGAGGGAATAATCAATACATGCATACTTTTTAAATTCACAATATATGTCAGTTTTGATAAGCAGGCACTATTATCATTTTTCAGATTACAAAGCTATTTTTGTCTTGTTTGTTCTTTCTCTGGCTTGCACTAGATTGATTTAGTGAGGCAGTGCCATTTCTTTTCTTTTCATAGGGTTGGGACTGGTTTGATTCATCCTTTTTCTCTTTATCTGGAAGGTAGCATGAGCTGGATATTATCTCTTCATATTATTAATCCACATATTAAACCTGCTCAAGGATTAAAACTGCTCTTAGGAGAGTCGTTTTCATAAGCTTTCCCATATACCCAACTGCCTTGAGTAACTCTTCCTGACACCTGCTTTGTGATTGATTCCTTTATACAACTTGATTTTGGATTTCTTTATGAAATGTTGTCTTTACTCAAATGACATTTCTTTGAAGGAGTCTTCTCTCAACCTGGAACTAGCTCTGACCTTTCTGCTCTATGTACCTCACAGCTGATCTCAATAGCTGGGACTATGGACCTGGGCAGCACAGGGTCATTTAAAGTTCAGGAATTTTTCGATGAGGAGGGGACAGGGGAAGATGAAAATTCATCTTCCAAAATTCTAAAATATTAGCATTCAAAATATAATTCTAATTCTAATTATAATATGGATGCACAGATTAGGAATTTTCTTGTCGCTACTGGTAATCATCAGTATCATGTGCTGCTTAGTTGAATTAGAAAAACCATATCCAGGAAATGACTTTCCTCCAATTGCTAATGTTGACAGATGTATGTCTGCAACTTTGTCTTGTGTAATTAGTTTTTCTAAGTTTTAGGCAGTTGTATTTTTAAAAGACTTGCTTTTATAACACTGGTCAGCCATTTCAAGCTCAACCCATTTGACTGATATCTAATAGTTTGCATGCCTGATGTTGAATATTAAGAGAAGGATTGGGCCCAGAGAAGTTATATTTCAGGCAGAAGAAGCCACATGTGTAAGGGAATGGAGGTCTGTCATCTAGGAACCAGCCTAGCCTGATGTACCTGGCAATAGTCCTTTTCCTTTCCCCTGAACACAGTTCTGGGGATGCCAGCAGTTCAGGACTTGCAGAGTATCTGGCATTCTAATAATTGTGAAGATTCCAGATAAGTTTGATCAGTTGTTAGAACTAAAAGGTGGTTCACTTGGTGATATTTGTTCCTTTGTGCTCTCTTGCTAGTCCCTCCCGAGGCCATCGGCTTCTTGTCTGCAGCTGGGGTCTTTCTTGTTCTTCTGGTTGTCCTCTTTCTCTTCATCAACAAGAAGCTGAGTTTCGAGACCGCAGGAGGCCTTCCATGTCTGGAGCAACTCGGGAAGAGAAAGTACTCTAAAGACAAGACTGGAATCTGCGAAGGGCCAGGTAAGCATTATGCTTTGCATAATGCGAAGCTCTCCTGAGCTTGGCATTGGCTGTGGTTTTGGTCAGGGAAGGATTATCACTGTTCCTGGATGGACCCCATTAAGAAATCACACATGAACAGTTTAGCAGCTGCTGTGGTGGCGTGATGAATGGACATTACCAAAGAATACATTAGCTTTAGGAAAGTAATGCTCTCTTTAGGGTCCAAAGAGCAGATAGAAAAAGGCTGACCACCGCTTCCTCGTCTTCTTAGCTTTTTAGATGTCTGTGTTGAGTTTCCCTCTGACTAATGCTTGAAGGGAAAGAAAAAAATAAGGATTTTGATTGACAAGAGCCTTGATGTGTTTTGGTTTCATTATTTTGGAATGATGTTGACACTTCACTTTAGTTAGCTGTTTCTGAGATTTTTAGTGCGTAGGGCCATTCCCCACCTCGTATGGCAACAGTCACTTTTCTAGAGGGAGGTTTTCAGTTCATTGAATCTACTAAATCATTTACTAACTTCCTTCTTTCAATTTAATGGGGAAAATAACACACTGAAAGAAATAATTGGCTTCCGGCTCTTAAAGAACATATTCTATTTTCAATTACTGAAGGATAGAACTTTGTGATACAGGATGTTATCACAAAGTGATTATAATCACACAAAAGCTGGACGTTTAAAGACAGTGCTTTTATTTTATAGGTACCCACTTGGCTTTTTAAAAAACATTTTGTTAGTCTGATTCTCACTTTTCTTCCCCATGGCCCATAGGTGGGTCATGACAGAACTGGTGGAGGGACAATCTTACATTATGTTTTTGAGCTGGGGCAAGGCCTTGAGGAAAACACCACTTAGCTATCCCACAGCCTGGACCAATGACAATATTTGATTTATTGATATGGTACCTTATGTAGATATGGTTTAACTTGTTTACTTTGCTATAATAAAAGGCATAATTTAGGAATAAATATGTATTCATTATCTATTATTTAACAAATTACCCCCCACAAAAATATTTATTATCCCACAGTTTTCAAAATTGATGAATATGGGGCTTCCCTCTTGGCTCAGATGGTAAAGAATCCACCTGCAATGTAGGGGACTGGGTTTGATCCCTGGATAAGGAAGATCCTCTGGAGGAGGAAATGGCAGCCCACTGTGGTTTTCTTGCCTAGAGAATTTCATAGACAGAGGATCCTGGTGGGATACAGTCCCTAGAGTCGCAAAGAGTTAGACATGACTGAACAGCTAACACTTTCACTTCACTGTCATGTATTAATTACTTATTGCTTTAACAAATTACCCCACAACAAATATTTATTATCTCACAGTTTTCAAAGTTGATGAATATGGATTTAGCTTAGTTGAGTGGTTATTACAGATCAGAGTTTTTCATGATGCTGCAAACAGAATGTCAGCTGCAGTCATCTAAAGGCTTGATTGGGACTGATGACCTCACTTCCAGGCAGAAGGCTTTAGTTGCTATGTGAACCCTCCGCAGAGCTGCTTGAATGTATTTTTTACATGGCAGCTGGCTTCCCCCAGAGTGAATGATCCAAGAGAGAAGAGCAAGAGGAAGTCAGTTTTTTAATGACCTAATCTAGGAAGGTCATTCAATATCTCCTCCACCATATTCTGGTCATTTACTAAGTACAGCCTATCTTCAGGGGAAGGGAGATTAAGTTCCACTTTTTAAGGAAACAGTATCAAAGCGTGTGTGATGTCTCTTAAAATCACCATAGGGGAGAGTAATGGAAGGGGTATAAATTGTAGTTCTGGCAGTTGATTTGGCATTCCTACTGTTGCAGTAGCCTTCGTTTTTGAACTCCACTTGGGACATCTGGCTTGTCTTCTGAAAATAGAGTGGAATATTTAAAATAGAATTTTTCATGTAAAATCTGGGACTTACAAATGCTTTAGCCACTATTGTCTCAGCTGGGACGTAGGTGAGACTTCTGCTTAGTTACGAGGTGATATGGAGTTAGGGTTCATAGTGATTCTTTCCTCTTTCAGCAGCTCACTTTCACTAGTTGTATGACTGAGGCAAATTATGGAACCATTCTAAATGTTTTCCTTATATGTATATCAGGGTCATCAATATACCTCTTACAGGGTTGGTCTCAATTATGTGAATTAATTTTGTTAAGATACCAGCATGATGCCTATGGTAAAAGACCTAATAGAACTTTAACCATAGTTGTGTAGTATTAACACAATTCCAGTCACAGTAGTGGCTTCTAGGAGTGACATCACACACGAACATGTATTCATTACTTAAATTGGGAGATTAAAGTTGGTGATGGTTTCTACTTTTCAGACTTTAATAAGTACAAAGAACTAAGGTTAGAGCTATTTAAGATATTTTCTTTTTGTCTTGTTTGACATGTTATCTGAGTAATTGAGAAACAATTATGAATTATACTTGCAAATAAGTTGAATATAATATTGAAACAATAACAATAAGCTGTTAGTTGTTAGCTCAAGCAACACTGAGAGTGGGATCATCTAAAGGGAGCTTTAAAAATAGTTTAATCAGGAGAATCTACAAATTACAATGAAGAAACAAACACCTTCATTTTGACATTTCTCCTTTGAATGTTTAATTATTATTGATCAAGAGTCTTTGAAAAATGTGCCGTTAGCCCAGATTTTATCTAACTTTTGATGTTTGCTTTATCATCTGCAGAGCCCTGACTTCTCAGTGAAGATGGGATGTTCTTAACATATTTTGACAAATGTTAGGAAGGGAGGAAGGCAGCCTGGTATGGTAGAAAGAAACACAGTGAAGACAGTCAGATCTTAGTTTTGCCACTAATTGGCTGTGGTATCCTGGAAGGTTTACTTCACTTCTCTGTGTCTTAACTCAAATTTATGAGTTTGGGCTAGGTTTCTCCCCATCGCTACAATGCAGTCCTATTTGATCCTTGGGGTTACCATAGCAATTTCTTCTCTAGGTCTCAGTCTATGAATGGAGGAGACCTAATGAAAATGATTAAAAAGCGACAAGACCATCTTACTCTGAGGTTGAACCATATGAAATTTCCATTTTTATAGATCAAAAAAGGGCTGGCTTTAGCAATCTAATCATTATAATCTAATATATATGTGAGCTGAAGAATAAAATTTTTTTTTGTTTGTGTGATAATATTAGGCAGACATGACAGTTCATTTTCTGAAACTGTTTTGCAAAATAATTTACCCCAGAAAAATGCCTTTTAGGCTATATATTTTTTTTCAAAATTCAACAGATTTTCACATATCATTTATCTGAATGTAGGTAAGGGGATAAAGAACTGAAACAGCTTCTTCCTAATAACATAGGTAATAATAATAATTAGATAATTATAATTGATGGCTATCATTTATTTAGCATTTACTCTTTATACTTGCTAAGTCTGTTACATGGATTATTTGACTTCTTAATGCAAAGTACTTGTGTTATTTATTGGTAGTGATTGCTTTGGGGGAAGGGTAGATATGGGTTGTCACAAAGAAGCCATTGTTCAGTGTTTTTTAAAAATTTTACTCATTTTTAATTGGTGGAAATGTTCAGTGTTGAGATAGAAGTTGATTAAAAATAAAAATCCCATGGTGAAATAATAAAGAATCTCAGCTTTGAAAGAGAGAGAAGATTTTTTTTCGTTTTTCCCTCAGAAGCTTTCTTTATGTATCAAAGGCAACATTTAGAAGTAGGAGCAGAGAGCTTCATTTCCAGAAGCACAGTGTAGAAAGGATAGAGGATGTACAGGAGGGGGGTTCCTCCCAGGCAGGGAGGGGAAGAAGAAAGGCTTTCCACCACTGGGAAGGGCAGCCCATGGCTTGGAAGGACTACAGGGAAAGAGATTTGGAGGGTTTGAAAGTTGCTTGGACCCTGAGAAGGGTGGTGGGTGTGGGGCCACCTGCCGTGGGTGTAGTGAGAAGATCGGAGTCCAGTATGGCCTGAGAAGGGACGAGAAGCAGAGCTCCATGTACATCCCCTTGTGGAGGGTGGCTGGAGACTGCCTTACACGTGTCCCACGTGGGCTCAGCATGGCTGCTGCAGAGATGGAACATAATGGTGGGGATGCGAGGAAAGAGACCTGGAGAAGATTTCTAGCAGTTCCTCAGTGAGTAGCTCATGTCACGTAGGGTTTAGGAGTTTCTGCATGACCCTCTGGGGAGAAGATGGTAGAGGTCTAAGAGTCACTGTCTTCCTGCGAGGGAGTAGTTGTACCTTGTGGTGGGGTGGCCTGTATCAGAGGCTGGGGAGCACACCCCTGAGGCCTCCTAGAGCCAGGACTGGATTCAAGGGCACATGACCTGTGCAGTGACACAGGACTCCATGCCAGAAAGGGGCACTTCTCTTGGGTTAGGGCTCTGCTGTGGCCCTCTGGAAATTCTTAATGGTTTTTGAACCAAAGGTCCTTCCATTTTTGCACTGGGTCTTCAAATTATGTACTTGTCTTGCCTGGAAGGATCCTAGGAGGTACTGTGGTACACAGCCATCCCTGGGAGGGTTGTAGAGGTCGAGGCTGACACTCCTCTTCGGGTCAGGGGAGCCAGCGTGGAGGAAGAGCACATCATCGTAAATGAGCGCACATCTGTGCCCACTGCTCTCTGATGAACAAGAGCGTAGAGTGGGAGTGCCAATCCCTCAAACTGATTATTGATCCCAAACGAAACTGACTGACTTTGAGGAAGCAAATTGAAGTTTAGTGTCTCACCACGGAGCATGGGAAGGCGTGGGGGTGACAGAAACAAGGGCACCATGAGACACCGTGTGTATGCATGCTCAGTTGCTTCAGCTGGGTCCAACTCTTTGCGACACTATGGACTGTAGCCCACCAGGCTCCTCTGTCCATGGGGTTTTCCAGGCAAGAGGGGGTTGCCATGACCCACTTACTGGAGTGGGTTGCCATGACCTCCTTCAGGGGGTCTTCCCAACCCAGGGGTCGAACCTGCACCTCTTATGTCTCCTGCATTGGCAGATGGGCTTTTTTTTTTTTTTTTTTACCACTAGTGCCACCTGGGAAACCCA